TTCTTTTTTAAAATTAAAAAGTTTTTAAAGTTCATTATTTATTTTTGAAAGAGGGACAAACAAAGCATGGGGGGGGGGGCAGAGAGAAAGGGAGACACAGAATCTGAAGCAGGAACCAGGCTCTGAGCTGTCAGCACAGAGCCCGACAGGGGTCTCAAACCCACAAACTGTGAGAGCATGCCCTAAGTGGAAGTCCTACACTTAACCGACTGAGCCACCCAGGCGCCCCTAATCTACATATTTCTAAAATGGTTCCTATGTGTGATTCTGTGCCTGTTGAGAGCCAGTGAAATAGAACTACCTAAATCAACACAGAATATAACTTTAAAAATAGAACACTGAGTGGGGCGCCTGGGTGGCTCAGTCAGTTGAGCGGCCGACTTCGGCTCAGGTCACGATCTCGCACTCTGTGAGTTCGAGGCCCGTGTGGGGCTCTGTGCTGACCGCTCAGAGCCTGGAGCTTGCTTCGGATTCTGTGTCTCCCTCTCTCTCTGCCCCTCCCCTGTTCATGCTCTGTCTCTCTCTGTCTCAAAAATAAATAAACGTTAAAAAAAAAAATAAAAAATAAATAAAAAAAATAGAACACTGAGGAAAAACTTTTGAATATGTATGGAGTATTTGGGTGTCATAATAACTGACGGCATTGGTGGTGAGCAGTGGGTAAGGATGCTAGACGTTCAGGCCTGGCCAGTATGGTCTGCACACTGCATGATTGCCCTTTATCCCCACATGACTCTCAACCGTCCTTTTATGACTAAGGTGAATGTAGAGTAAACAGAAAGCACAGTTGTATCCCATGTTTCGTCTGACCTTGAGCTTTCTGAGGATTCTTAGAGAAACCAAGCCAATCAGAGTTACAGCTTTATGGCATAGCCTACGATGCTCAGCCTTTGTGATTATGACAGCAGATATGTGTGGTATATGCAAACCACTTCCTAGATAGGCTCACAGTGGAATGACAGGATAGAAGAAAGAGGATTCTGTTCCCCTGGAAAGGAGTTATCACTGAACCTCTGAAATGGCCCAATTTTTCAAAAATTTTATACCAATATAACTATCAATAACAAAATATCCAAGTAACAGTGGCCCCAGTAATAGGAACGTTATTATATCACTCAACAAGGAGTCCACATCTTCTTCCCTATGCACCTCCTCGTGATTATAGATGGCTACACAATTACAGTACATCATACCCTTCCATCTACACATCCTGGGGGAAGGAAAGGAATAGTGACACAAATATGTCCCCTCACATGTCTCTCTTCTTTTTTCAGGGGGAAAATAATACCCAAAAGGCCCCACAGAACTAATCTCTTTATATTCTATTGGCTAGAACTGGTCACATATTTACCCCTGTCTGGAACTGGGTAAGGGGACAGGAACTACCATGTCTGGAACTGGGTAAAGGGGACAGGACTACCACTGGCTTGGAATACTCCCAACTCATCCCCTGGGTTTGGGATACTGCTGCCTGCACAAAACTGGGTTCTTTAGGTTTTTGATAAGGAAAAGGGTTACGTGATTATCAGACCTAATGGCATATCACAATTTTTGCCACCAAGATTTCAGAGATTAAAACTATTAATTTCTGCATTCATGAAAGAAAGAGAAGGAAGTTGGCACTTCTTTCTCCCATCTTCTGCCTCATTGCTATAAATAGAGGAAAACAAGTTGAGTAGAATTTTTCAGAAAATGGAACCATATTGGTTACAAACTCTTAAGAAACCTGATCCAACGACAAGGAAACCTGAGTGGGCTACCAGGATTTGGGCATATCACTAGGGCTCAGTAGGCACCCCCCCCCCCCCATAAATTAAGAAAGATTGGATTAGATGAATTACTAGTAGGTCACTTCTCGTTGCAAGTTTCCATGAGGCTTTGAATCAGCAGCTAAATTGTACATGATGGTTTTAAAACTAAGACTAATTTTATAACCACTTTGTAACTTATAGCCAAACCTTGTGCCCTACTGATCCTGAAGAATTAATGTGGTTCACAAAGCAATTTACTTTAAGGTAAAGAGAGTAGTTAGGAGAGATTTAAGCTCATCATTCATATTGGTAGTTTGACTAGCATAATCACACTCAGATACTTATAGTGAATTTATCAGGGAAGAATGTTTTCAAGTCAGTCTTCCCAAAAGAGTGTTACCAAGTGGTCTGGGAAGGAATGGGTTCCGAGGTAAAAATAACTTTAGGAGGTGCTGGGTTAATCATGATTAAACAGATTTCTTTATCACTGAATTTCTCAGAAATGTATAAAGTTAATGTGCATGATGAGTCACCAAAAGAGATATATTATCTTTCAAGTTCCATTTTGACGATATATTCTTCTTTCATGAACACTTAATTTTCCCCATGTAGAAAATAATCACATCACCTTACTTGTATAGAAGGGTTCAAATAACAAAATATTTTGAAAGCATCATGTTTTGCAATATGAAAGGCTTTCCTCCCCAAAATTCTTTTTAAACTACTTTTTAACAGTTCTGACCAGGGTGATTATAAGATACCAATTTAATAGCACTTATCTACAAACAAAAAATAAACATATTTAAAAATACATATAGAATTGTCACACATACCAATTTAATAACTATTAAATGATACAAACACTGCCTTATTAGTACTGTGAAAGTACAGTATTATAGGCAATGCACGCTTTTATTCCTACTGTTTTGATTTATTTCTCGGTGATCATTTTCACATCACCTTTGTGAAATATTTCATACAATAAAGGCTCGGGGAAGCATACTTGGAGAAATTTTCAACTACTTTTCCAAATCTGTTATAATACATTATAGACACATTTAAACTCATTTAAAAGAAGAAAAAGCAGGAAGACAGCAACAGTAAAGCACAGTAAAGTTTTTACTGCTTATAAAAATAAGTCAGTCAAGAAGGGATTCCAGGCTGGCAACATTCTAAAACTGTTAGCAGGCCAAAATCTCAAATTGTAATCTTTGTAGAAGGTGAACTGCATAGAGTGAATTTTTATTTCTTTATCATGCTGCTGGTAAGAGAGGGGTATTGCCTACCCAGAGGAACATCTTACTGCCTGGAGCACAGCAGAAATGTGAGTCACAAAAAACACAGCAGACTTAGGGGCAACGGTCAGAGGGCAAGCCAGACTCCATTGGTTTAGCAGAAGAAAGAAGCCTTTAAAAAAAAACAACCAACCAATTCAACCCCCCAAAATTGTACAAAATATCTTTCTTACAGGTGTCAGTTCTGAGTATAAACACATCACCATCTGCCAGTGAGCATATAGTACCAGAAGTGGCTTCGAAGCCCTTCAAATTTCAAATATCCTAGAACAAGGAATAGTGGAAGGTTCAAGATATAACCGTGTCCCTATGACAGAGTTGTAAATAATAATAACATTATTAATAATAATGATATGAAATGTTTGTTAGGTAGATACTCAGATGTAATAGACATTTGAGTACTCAAGTTCTTGAGAACTTTGAATGGGGTCATAGGGAGTTTTTTTAGAGCGATAATTTACACATGTGTTATGGGCAGGTAGGAGAAGACAGGGACGTTTGGGAAAGTAAAAGGATATAAAACCACAGTGGACTGGCAAGTGGACACACCCAATTTGTTTGCAAGCTGGAATGTTGTTATTTTCCATTTAACAGTGAGTTTTACATCCCTTTAGGTTATACCTTTCTAATGAGGAATGGTTTAAGTTAAAAAAAAAAAAATTAAAGGTATGTTTTCTTGACTTTGTGGTCTTGCCAAACTACCTACGTAGACAACATTGCCATCTAGTGGCCTAAACATACCACAGCCACCACTTTTAGGTTGGGAGCAGGGGTCCTGACATAGGTTTGAGGGGGTGCTCAACAGATGCAATGTTAATAGTGGTACCCAAGCCACACCAAGAGCATATAAACTCATCCAGAGAAAACATACTAACAGTTAGAGAACCCACTCTGGCCCCAAAACTTTACCAGCTAGCTCCACAGAGAAAAGGACCACCACCATTGAAATAAGTGTATGATCTGCCTCATTTATTTTCTTCCTTTGAACTTTTAAGATCCATTTCTCGTTCCTTTGTTCACCTACCTGCTTGAAAATATTTTCCAAACATTCTTTCATCTTTATAAAAAGGATATTGCCCTATATCAGCACGACCACGTAAAGAATCAAGTATCAGGTTGCCAATGATGGTCAAGAACTCTAGAGGGATGAATGAAAGGGACAAGGGACATTTCTGTACTATCTTTGCAATTTCCTGTGAATCTAAAAAAAGGAAAAAAAACACAACAAAACACCTCTGCAGGGGGTCAGTCTAAGCCTTTAATGAAAATATAGAATTTGTCTTAGAAAGTACAAGAAAGAGCTAGGCTTAGGTCTAAACTGATTAAGATTTAAGGGACAGGGAAACAGGAAGAGGCTTACAAGAGTGGGGTAGAGACAGCTTCAACTGAGGTTGCCAATATTCTGGAGATAAATATTCTTAGCAAGCATCCCTTGGGGACTTTTTTTAAGTTAAAATCAGATACTCCCTGCTTCTCCCAATTGACTGTAAGGCTTATATAATCCTTTGCTTCCACAACCAGGCCACCTATGGCAACAACCACCAACATGCCAAAAAGGCATGAAAAGGTATGGAGAACCATGCCCAGGACTGGACCATTATCAGATCACCATTGATGGGTTCTTGCCAAGCCCCATCTTTGACCCTGCGCAATTAAGATCAGGATGGATATGAGAGTACCAACAAAATAGCCATTAAGTCTTTGTTAGCCCATATTTGATGAAACAAGGATAGAAACACAAGAAGTGGGTTTAGATCTGTTTGACTAAAGGAACGGTGGGAAAGCTGGAAGAGGCAATTTTCAGAAATCCAAATATGTGCTTCTCCAAAATTTGCATCAAAGTCTTAGTCATGCCCATGCAAATGGATCTTAGTTCAAATTCATGTCAGAAAAATCTGGAACACACTTACTTCCTCTATGCAAATCTCCTAGGAAAGCAGCCGTTGGGTCTTACCTATGATAAAAAGGATCTCCACTGCAATGTCACTGACTGTTGTGCTCCGCGTCGTGGACAGATCATCGTTGCCAATAAAGCAAACGTTGTAAGGTACAGTCACGGCAACATAAAACGTCGCCAATAGAATAAGCCAGTCCCAGCCAGCTTTAAAAGTGCTAAAATGCAAAAGTATGAATTTGGACTTTTTTGCATCAGAAACTTTATACTCCGGAAACGCTGGTTTATCTACAAAAACATTCTGTGGATAAAGACAAAAAGGAGAGAAGGGAGACACAACATTAGAAGCAAGGATCACACAGCCTTAAACACACTTCTGTGAGGAGCATATTCATACACACAATGCCAATGTCTCTTACAAGTGACTTTTGGGAGGTGGTGATGCAAAAAGTAGAGATGTACACACTAAAATCGAGCGGAGATCTTTGTTATAAGTAACAGGAATGTGCAGAATTTAGTCATGAATGTTAAGCGAGTAATCCAGATTTTGTTCACGAAGAACAAAAAGATCATTACCTAAAACGTCACCTACAAACATCCACAGTTGCAAGTATAATCTTATATACACTGGAAACACAAACATACATTTGTATTCCTATTGTCATGGAGACCTTCCACACACTTATAGTTTTGAGACAATGGTCATCATCCAAAGGATATGTTTGACCTGAAATTCTTCTAATAATACCAAAGCTACCATTATTTTCCCAGAGAGGATAGAAATATATGATCATCATTCTATGGTTAACGCGACTTACATTTCTTCCAAAATATAACCAGGTGGTGCTAACTACATGCATTTTGCATTGTGGTTTTTGGTGAAGTTTCAAGCTGGGAACCTGCATCTCACACCCTTGACTGGCATGGATTCATCATGACACTAGCTAGCCCTTGGTAAGACGGCAAAGTGAGAAACAGTTACTTAAGAGTCATTCAGGTCATAGGAGGAGAAAGGCAGTGTTCGCTGTGCAGCTGATTAAATGCAGGAGAACTGCTGGAGTTCTATAACTGCAAAAGCACGTCACTTTGAAAGCAGTCCAAATTGATGAACAATTCTTATTGTTAGGAGACAAAAGGAGGCCCAACAATAGCGTGTGTGGAAATTTGACAAGCCTACGGCCAGGTACTTGCAGACCTTGCTTTGACCTCAATTAATGAGAAACACAAGATCGGTAATGGAAACTTAAATTTGAAAGTTAAGTTGAATGAAGTGAACAGTTAAAAGTTTCAGAATACATGTTACTTGCAGGTCATGGTATGTTTTGTTTCAGCCAATGGGGAAAGAACAAGTTGATGGGATACGTTCAGGAATTCCTGAAATACTAGAGGATTCAAGGAAGGTCAGAGCCATCAGGAATACGTAGCTCTTTAGTGGCGAATGTCAGTGACCAAATATTTTTGCTGCCTTAATATTAATGCACCCCCTATCTTATATCTCTCCTTGGTAGGCATTCCCACCCAACACAGGCTTCTACTTCCTATTACTATTCTCACTCAGCTCACACAGGCACCTCATAATACCAGGATTTCATGGTAACGGACTGCTATACCACTTCTACATGGTCCTTTGACGCCCATCTGCCATTACATCTACGTTCCATTCAATTCCCTGGTATTTGACCTGCCTTCTTCACCTCATTCTCTGGTTTCTAGAAACAAGTTTAAGGGTGGGCTTTGAAATAAAACTGGGAAGAGGAGAGTGAAGTATACCTGTTGGGCTTCTTATTAAGGTGTAGGCAAGTGCATAGGAGAAGGGAGGGTTAGGGTTGCTAAGTATTAACTACATGAAGGTTGATAAGTACTTCTGTTTATAGAAGGACATGATGGATTCCCATATAATTTTTTTTTTTCAAATATAAAACAGTAACAGAGAAGCCATGGGGGAAGACCTCAATTTCTATCTGAGGAAGTCTTTTGCTACCATATTACAGAGATTAAAATTTTAACTTGTTTGAAGTTGAGGCCAGCTCTAGGAGTGAGGGTTGGGAAAACTCAGGAAGTATTTTCTTTTGTTTACGCTGATTACATGAAGCATTAGTGAGGCCGATACAAAAAGTCAGCTATGTATTACTTACTTTCACAAGTCAGAAAATAAATGACACTATTTCATCTTTATAGGTTATTTAAAACACATTTCTTAAGATTTTTTTTAATTTTTTTTTTAACGTTTATTTATTTTTGAGACAGAGAGAGACAGAGCATGAACGGGGGAGGGTCAGAGAGAGAGGGAGACACAGAATCGGAAACAGGCTCCAGGCTCTGAGCCGTCGGCACAGAGCCCGACGCGGGGCTCGAACTCACGAACCGCGAGATCGTGACCTGAGCCGAAGTCGGCCGCTTAACCGACTGAGCCACCCAGGCACCCCTCTTAAGATTATTTTAAGATTAAAAATTCATTACATCTCATATTAGGCTTAAATTGTGAAGGGTTTGTCTTTTTTTTTTTTTTTTAAACTCAGGTCCCACAAACATCGTGACACAGGCACCTGAGTGAAAAAAATAGAGGCTCTTGTCCTCCCACCACCAGATTTGTAAACTTTTATCAAAAACCTTTTGAGGGGCACCTGGGTGGCTCCATCGATTAAGCGTCTGACTTCGGCTTAGGTCATGATCTCACGGTTTGTGAGTTCCAGCCCCGCGTCAGGCTCTGTGCTGATGGCTTAGAGCCTGGAGCCTGCTTCGGATTCTGTGTCTCCCTCTCTCTCTGCTCCTCCCCCTACTCATGCTCTGTCTCTCTCTCTCCTTCAAAAATAAATTTTAAAAAATATTAAAAAAAAAACCTTTTGAGTGCAAGAAAATGTCTTACAATTGGAAAGTATGTTTTTAGCAAGTACGAAGAAGAGAGACTTCTTATTTATAACCCTGACACACCGAGTTTGCCTAAGGAAAAATGCAACCAACTATTCTGAATTTCAGTTCTAAGTTACTTATTAATTTTGAAGCATGTTCTTTAGTATCAATGGTGGTTTTTTTTTTTTGCTGTTTAACCTCTACCCTATGAATTATTGAAACACAATGGCTAATGGCTAAAACCTAACTAAAGTAACTGCTCCCTAAACCATTCCTGTCACCTTTCTTTGAAACTAACTTTTGAATGATAGGAAAATGTTTCTGTAGTCGCTGCACCAAGTCCCAGGCCTTCAAGGACCATTGTTACCGAGCCGGTAATATTTGGGCATTTAAAAGACTTTGCTTTCAAGCTCCCAGGGTTCTCATCTGACCTTTACATTTCTTTGCGCTGGAAACAGTTGCATCATCAATTGTCATTTAAATGAGTAACAAATCAAAACAAAAGCAGAAATTAAGTCCCTTTTCCGAGATATACCAGGCAGTTAGAGCCAGGAATGAAAGGTGTTACATCCTGATTCACAAACCTTGCTTAATGGCCTGATGAGTTCATTTGCCTAGGGTTGAATCATACATTCCTATTCCACAGAACTGTATCATGGAGCCGCAGGGCAGGGGGCAAAGGCATAGGGCTTTGAGTCAGAAGATTCACAGCAGGGTCCCATATCCTGCTTCTACTTTTGAGATCTCGAATAAGTTCTTTTGCATCATAAAAATGGAACTAATAAAAATCATACCTAGTATTGGCTTGCTGTAAAAATCAAATAATATGATGTCAGTAACAGGAATTTGTAAATAGCAAAGTTATAAAAATACTGAGAATTTGTGTGTGTGTGTGAATTATAATCAGAATTCCCCCCCAATGGATTGTTCAGCCGATAAACTATCCAGATCATTTTTTTCCTCTTCTTCCTTCTCTCTTCCTACTGTCTTTTAGCCATTCTACTCTGTCCTCCTTGAAAAGAGATGGTGAACAGGGCCGGTCCTGATTCTACACATTAGAAGTAAGATACTACCTGTATTGCTGAAGTCGCTGTGTTGATTAGACATCCTTAATTACTAGGTATTATTTTAATGCTCCCCCTCATGTTTGTATTTCTTAGATGATTGGCAATTTAGCAAATTAGCGAAGCAGTGAGAATTATGATTTTTTAAATCCGATTTTTAAGTACTGTTCTGTACTTTGTTGGATCTAAAGGGAAAAACAGGATGTTCAGCAAACACATTTTGAGGCTTAGTTATACTTGCTGTGTTTAAATGATTCTCAACTAAAGGCTACATGACAATATCTCTGGCTAGTATTTGTTTAGGTGCTTTGTTGGTTGATGTGCATACAATCAAGCCCAGATGTGGCTACCTTTGTTTCTTCCTAGAACTTGTTTACTGTCACTAAGGCTGGCTTGGTAACTGAAGGCAAATGTAAATAGGAAACAGTGGAAGGATCCATAGATCAAGTGGTGTCCACCCTTTCAAGTCTATCCCTGGACTCTCTGGAAATCAATGACATCGGGGCACAGGGATCCCCAGAAAAATCTTTATACTAAGTCAGGCCAAAATAAACAGCGTGTGACTCTTAATGGTGATGCCTGGCAGATCATCACCAGCATGGGTGGTGGTCCTAGAGCACAGATGGTCCAAAGCAGTTTGTTGTGGTGTCCAGAGAGAAATCACACTGAAGCAGGACTCAGTTTGCAGCACTTTCTTGTCAGATCTCCCACTCCCCTTAGCTCAGGCATCTTTCTTTGTTCACTACAGAGAAACAGATACTTTATATTATCAGATGCATGACTATTTTGCCAACACATGTGTATTAGGGAGTCTGGAGGTTTCTATGGAAAAAGTAAGATGCCAAAGAATTCCCTGTGTCCCTAACTCCCAGACCTTCTGGATCTTAGGTCGATTCCAAGACAGCTCTGCTTGTTTGATGTAATTTTTCTAATGCCATTGGTAAGTTAGACCCTAAGTGTTTGTACCTGCTACCCAGAGTCCCATCACCCTTCCACCCAAAGATTTATGTTCTGAAGAATCCACAATGCAAATTAATGATATTACCATCATTTGCAAAATTACCTTTGAACATCCATAACTAAACAGACATAGTTCTGGGTTTCTCAGTGAAATCTCTCAGTGCTAAGAATCAGTTATGAAATCAGTGTGAAATCCTGGAACTCATGTAAAACTCTGCACAGGATCATCTTTTTAAGGCACAGTTCTTCGTTGCGGCTTTTGACAGATAAGCAGCACCAGGTTTCAGAAAGTAGCCCTTCTGTCATTTACTAAGAGTGCAACTTTCGACAAAACTGTATGATATAAAGCATAGAATTTCACATCCAATGTTCCACTGTGTGAAATTTCCAACTCTGTTTTGTAGAAGATGTAAATTTTTAAATGGAGTAATGACTTTGACTTGCTCATGGTCCTTCTGGATAAAAACATTAAGTGAAATTAGATAAAGTGCAGAATAAATGGAACTAAAATTAAATCAGAGAAATTTTAACCAACAAACTATGAATGTGTAATAGGACTTGCTGCATCATCTTGTTCATAAAATGTAACCAGTATGTCCCCATTCGTAGTGTCCCTAGTACTGTATTGTACTGGCCACGGTAATATTCTAATCTCTATGCTGTGATAACACTGTGATTAAGCACTTTTATAACAGAAATGCTTCACGACTGCTGACCTTTCCTAGTTTATTCTTCATAGGAAAGCACAAGCCGAAGTGCAAAAAAATCTAGGAAAGCCAATAAATGAGTAATTGCAGCCTTTCTTTGGTGAATCAAATATCGCACCAGGGGAAACTCTAGCATTCAGAATGTACACACATACCACCTACATTATTTATTTTCAGTTTGTTCTTTTCTCTTCTTTGCAGGTGCCCAGAGATGTGATAAAGGACCGCTCGACTCCGTCTCCGGGCTGAGTCAAAGTGGGTCCCTGCCCTTGATCTTCCTTTGGCTTTGTCTGGGGGAAAATAAAACTCATTAAACACCAACGAAAGCATCATTTCATCCCAAGAAAGTCAGGTTTTGACAGTTCCCTTTCAAGACACACAGTACATGTTTCTCAACACTTAAAATTATCTGCTGGCTCCTAATGACAGTTAATTTTGGTCCTTTACAATTTATATATTTTTGTCATCATATTCACTGCATTAATTTTTGAATTACAGCAAAACATACAAGAGCACTGAGAAAATTTCAAACAGTTCGGAAAAACATTAAGCCAAAAATAAAAAAAATCTTACTCCTATTTTCCTGCTGTTCTACATTCATATCCCTAATTCTGCTCCCAATGTTTTTTCTTGACATTTTTCCAGAAAAATATCTAATATATGTCCTATATCCACATTTATACTCATTTTACTTTGCATAAATGGAAGTTTACAATAAAAACGGTTTACAAATTCTTTTTTCACATCAAAGTAACTTGCAAATCATTCTAGATGTGCACATTATAGTTCTCTCACATTCTTTTTAATAGCTAAGAGCATGCCATATTAAGGATACAGCTAGATTTATTTATATTACTATTTCCCTATCATGCACACTTAGGTTTAGTCAGGATTTTTTAAAAAATCTGTGTAGATAATCTTGCAATTAAATTCCTAAACACATAGGGCCTTGCGCTGGTGTGCCAGGATATTTTGTAGATAAATTACTAGGTGTGGGTATGTACATTTTAAATATTGGTATACATATTCCAAATTTCAATCTAGCAATTTAGGCTCCCAGCAACAGTGAATGGACGTGCCTGCTTCACCAGACACACATCAAAATTATGAAATCTATCAGTTGGTATCAAAATGCCAAGTGGAATTACAATGCTAACTACCAAAGGGACCAGATTAGAGATTTATGACAGTTAATAAGCCAAGTTCCTTCTCAGTGAAGAAATGTAATCAATAGCTGTGATTTTCTAAATACAGCAACATCAATTTTACAGTCGTGAAAAGGGGGCCCTCAAAGGGAAATATAAACAAAACAAAACAAAACAAAAAGCCTATCTGTCTTGATCTTGGCTCTGAAAGGAAGAAAAGTTTTCCTTGAAAAGTTTTAGTCACAGTTTAATCCTTGTGCAGGATTGGGGTTGAAAATCATTCTAGAAAAAAAAAAAAAAAAGAAAATCATTCTACTTATGAGATCTAAAATCTCCCAAGCAAAGAAATGAATTTAAAATGTCCCTGGGTTATTGGCTCCTGAATCACACACACACACACACACACACACAAATAGAATAGGGAGCAACTTATTTTTTTAAAAAATATATATATATGCGGGGACTCCTGGATAGCTCAGTAGGTTGAGTGTCCAACTCTTGGTTTCGTCTCAGTTTATGATCTCACAGTCCGTGAGATCGAGCCCCATATTGGGCTCTGTACCGCCTGCTTAGGATTCTCTCTTTCCCTTTTTTCTCTGCCTGCTCCCTGCTCATGCTCTCTCACTCTCTCTCTCAAAATAAATGGATAAATATTAAAAAATATATACAAAGAATTCATGATAGCAATATTTGTAATGTTCATATATACACAAATACATAAATAGATGCATATATATGTAATACAGACATGTGTTTGTGCATATAACTAAAATATGCCAAATGTCCATAAACAAAATAATGTATGAACAAACTGTGGCAGAGGTATGACACAGGATATACAAATTCTATTAATGGACATATGTGGGAATAAATGTGAAATGACTGAAATAGTGCCTACCTGTTACCATAGAAATGTCTCAAAAACATAATAATGAGTTCAAAAGGAAGAAATACAAAATAGACAACATGGCAATATTTTCATAATATTCATATACATGCAAAACTAAATAACATATATTTAGGGGAATGTATGTGCTGTACTAAACTACACATAATCAACACACATACATGTGCATTGGAGTTGCATCCAGGAACCAAATTTACATATATCTTATATATTTAATATATATCAATATATAACATAATATATAACATATATTTAATAGATCTATTAAATATATTTATGTATATTTAATAGATCTATTAAATATCTTTATGCATATTTAATAGATCTATTAAATATATTTATATATTTATCATATAATAGACCATATATTAAATATATAATATATTATATATTATTATGGGTTATATACTATATAGATTATATATTAATATATTATTAATTAATTATATATTGTTTAATACATACATTAAATATATTAAATATTATATATAATATATTCTATATTAAATATTATATGTAATATATTAAATATTATATGTAATATACTCTATATTTAATATATACTAATATATGCATTAAATATAAACAATATATATTATATAATATAAATAAACATATATTTATATATATAGTATTTTTTAATAAAAAATATTTCACAACAACAAAAGAACAAGACTAAAGTGGTAAAGCTGTGTTACCTGACCCAATGCCCTGGAGAGGTGGTTGGCTCGGGAGGGTGGGGACATCAATTGCTTAAGAAAAGTGACTTAGGGTTAAAATCTGAAAGAGGACTAGTTGTTAATAAGACAAGATGAGGGGTAGCAGAGGGAGGAACATTTCCGACAGAGAAAATAAAAGGTGTGAGGGCCTTGGGCACAAAAGAGCTCAGCATCTCTGAAAAACTGAAAGAAGTCCAGGAGAGTCAGGATACAGAGGACAGGAGGAAAAGAAGTAAAAGGGGAGGCAGGCAGAACAGACGGATCGCCCATCACCCAGGGCCTCTGAGGCCACAGTAGAATTTTGGATTTTACTCCAAATGCAATGGTAAAAGTATCAATCAGGGAATAGCTTAGGCTTGAATAAGAAAATGACTCTCTTTCTGTGTGTGTGTGTGTGTGTGTGTGTGTGTGTGTGTGTTTCTGTCTCACTGTCTTTTCCTTTCCTGGAACACAGCGCAGGATGGCAATGAAAAGTGGTGGAACAGCTTTACCATCCTTTATAAGTGGCCTCCATGTCTGAGTCCAAGGAGCCCCCCTGGGGGAGGAGGAAAAGGAGGTAAAGAAGAGGGCATAAAGCATCCTGTCAGGAACCAGAGGTCACTCACATCACTTTTACTCATACAACATTAGCCACATGTGGCTACAAAGAGGCTAGAAAATAGAGCCACTAGCTGAGCAGCCTTGTCCCCTGTTGAATCTCCACTGTAAGTTGGAGAGGGTTCTATTACTAATGGATGAGTTCTGGGGGATAATTAACAGTTCAGGCACATGAACCCATAGCAAAGTTTTAAGCATTCAAATGACATCAGAAAATTTGAGTTTTCAAAACAGCACATTAACTTGCAGTGTGGAAACTGATAGAAAGTATCCACAGAGGTCATTAGGAATCACTCAGGTAGCCATTTTAGTAGGTCAACTGAAACAGGTGGTAGCAGTAGAGGTAGGACAAAGCTGACACTTAAAATATTTAGAAAAGTTGCATGGCTTTGTCATTTGATGGATTATGAAATTACCTTGTAATAGAGTTCAACGTGGCAGAAGAAAATCTAGGCCCTCCAAAATGTAGTAGGCCAACCATGACGCTAAAAAGAGTTTGAAAAAGAGAAATACAAAAAGGAAGGAAAGGGTAATTGTGGTGTCAGAGAATCTGAGGGAAAAGAATGTTCCAAGGAAGAGAGAGGGGCCAGAGGGTCTTCACATCTCACTTTGAGTGATTGTCCTTAGGTGGAAGAGACATCCCATTCCTCTCTTTTATCAGGAGGCAAGGAGGACATTGATTGTGTATACATGGAGGGGGACATTAGGTTTGAAGACAGGAAGATGAAGTAGCTCCTGTCTGAGAGGTCCTTCCTTCCTTCCTTCCTTCCTTCCTTCTCATTGACTTTGGAGGTGAAGTCAAATGTTAACAATGATGGGTAATTAGTAGGAGCTGGTAGTTTGAAGACAAGACGGAATGAGTGAAATATTTGTTGTAGAGGATGGACTGTCAAGACCAGTAGGGAAAGTGATAGATTTCTTGGGGAATTTGACTGCCCCATTTGAGGCTGCTAAAAATAAATCTGGAGGGATTCCCGTCCTCCCTAATGTAGGTATTATACCAGCAGTTCGTAGCCACTTGTGTTCAGGCCAAAGAAAAGGTATTGTTGGTTCTCATGTTGAGTTTGCAGCTTTGTCAGATGGATATAGAGAAAATTTGGAGGTACAAGAGAGTTTAAGGGTACATGCACAAGGGACTTTAAAATGATGAACCATGAAAGCCAAGGTAGAAGGAAAATGAAAACGGTCGTGAACCAACAAAAGGAAGAAGATGAAGATTTCACTGACCTGGAAGTGATCATCAGTTCAAAAAAGTCAATCAGTAATATGTGAAGGGACGAGGTGCTATGTCTGTAAGCAGCACGATTAAAGAAGCAATTTCAGTTTTTGAGCAATACCGAGTGAGGATCATTTCCAGGAAGAAAATTAAAAGTTATGCTTATACTCCAGTGAGTTAGGAATTCTCAACAAAACACTGTGTATTCATAATATTGCCTTAGCTCCTCTCATGTTCTAGGCATCAGGCTAGGAATGCTGTCTTGGTTCTCATAAAGCATCAGTTTTTGCATTTACTGCAAAGCAAATGAAAGGTCACTGAACTCTTGTAACTTGCCAAATTTCAAAATGGGCAGAGGGTGGACGGATATTTGAATCCTTAATGATCTTACTTGAAATCTTGTGTGCTTTCCACCTCACCATGGATCATGGTTAACTACGCAGTAGCCTCTGATTACATGTTTGCACTTATCCGTGTTATCCTGTTGAGTCAAAATAGATCTATCTCCTACATAACCATTATTTTCTCTGCTTTTCTCCTACCATTTCACTCTTTTCCTTGCATCAAAAGCGACATACCCTAGAAAACACACATCCCCCGTTCTCAGTTTTGAGCTCCATTTCTTTCCCACTTCCCTTCGCATCCTCTCTTTTACATTGTAAAATACTTTTATAATATATTTGTTTACATTAGAGCATTAATGTGT